ACTGTAAGGAATGCGTGCTGGTTACAGCTCTTTGTTTGTAACTGTATTCCTAATTTATTAATTTATTTTTCATTGTATGTTCGTGTCCAGTTTCTTTTTGTTTACTTGTTCATTTATTGTAATTGTTTATGATTCTTATTTTCTATACTGCTGCATGTTCAAATTGGGGGTATGTGTGATAATTCTGTTTTAATGTGGAAAATCAAAATAAATTGTTTTTTTATTGTTGATTCAAGGATCATCATTTTTGAATGTTTTAAACAAAAAATACTTACATATAGCTCCTTTAAGGCAAAGAGTACATTACAGGTGTGATTCCTCAACGATATTAGTACCCAAAACCATATTTCTGGTGTTTGGAAAAAGATTAGTCTCTCAGCTTTGGTAAGATGATGTACACACACCTGATACAGTTGAAGTTTTGTTTGTACTGCTGCTCGGTGGCTTTCCAGAATCCATGTGACCTGTTCCTAACAAAACACTTATTAAAAACTGAGGTTTGTATTTGACTGTGGGTACGCCAGTTTAAAATTCAGCCAGTAAACACATTTTATCACTTCTGGCCTCTGCTGGAATTTATTGGAGGTGCTCCATGTAATAAAACCCCTTACTACTAAAAACTTGGCTGGACGGACTTCTTCTTCTTCTTTCTCCTTTGCCCTTTCACTTTTTCAATACTTCCTGTTTATAAAACTCAAAAGCAGTTTTTCTGTTTAGACAATGGGAAAGATGCAGGCTGAAAATCCAGACTCCAAAGTGATCCGACCACACCCTGGTAAGCATGTTCATGGATAAATGGCTATCTTTTGTTTGTATCTTTCTCTTTGTTTTTCTCTTTGTCATTCTTTCTTTTGCTTTTTCTTTTTCTTTTTCTTTCTCTTTCTTTATTTTGCTTTCTCTATCTCTCTCCCCTCTCCTCTCTCTCCTTCCCAGGCATGTGTGTGAAGACTCTCTCAGAGCCAAGCAAGCACAAGGTCTTTGTCAACATCTGCCAGTCAAACTCAGTCCCACCGCCACCAGAACTCTCCAGGGAGGAGCTAGTGGAGCTGCTCCAATCCGAGGATCCCAGCGGCTACAGAGTTCCCATGAGCCTCGGCGAGCCACACACAGAAATAGACAACAGTACGTTGTTAAACTTGAAGATCATGCTTTTTCTTGGGCAGTTGTGCATAGGTCGACCATCATCCCTATCCATAATTTTAAATATTTAAATGAACAGCTTTAATCCTCCATCCATTGTTATTCAGTCTAACTTGCAATAGTTATTGTATCAGTTCCAGTGTGATAGAGAACCCATGCAACAGACATTGAATCACTGCCCAAAAACACCCAGAAATCACAGCTGTGCTCCAATCTGGGTTTGTGTTGCAGCATTTGAAAGATTAGTTTGGCCCGATTTCACCCCCAGAGCTTCCAGTCTTTTCAGAGCTTTATTTTTCTATTTTGAAACTCTCCTTATCAGAACAGGCAAACTAAAGTCAATCAAAATACTTTTGATACATTGAATTTATGTCTTTCTCTTTGTGTTAGGCTCTCAGGGTTGCACAGCCTATGACGTCGTCATCAACCAGGATTTCTTCCAAAAGTGCCAGGTGCGTCTGTGTGTGACGTCTTGTTATTCCACCCATCCAATTATATAATCATGTAACTATTATTATGGGTAAGAGGAAATGGTTAATGTTATTTTTTTCTTCTGATGTGCTATGTTAAAGTATGTTACACTTAAGAGCACGTCTGTTGATTTCAGAGTGAAGGTTTTTATTTTTTTATTTATTTTTTTTAAGTCGAAAGTCAGTCAGTACAAAACATCTTTTACAATCTTGTTTTTGAAATGAAACTAAATGAACAAACAGACAAACAACCAGTACAGTATGTGTGTAGCAGAGAAACAGGGGGGTTGCAGTACAATTCATGTTTTACCTGAAATATGTTCTCAGTGGGCTGATAAACTCAATCTATCTTCTTCAACTTTTTTCATACACTATATGGACAAAGTTATTCGGCCACCTGACCATAATACCAACAGCGATTGTAATGACATTTTATTTAAATACATGTACTTTAATAGGGAGTTGGCCCAAACTTCACAGTTGGCACAATGCGGTCAGATAGGTAACATTCTCCCGGCATCAGCCAAACCCAGACTCGACCATCTGACTGCCAAACAGAGAAGCATGATTCGTCACTCCACAGAACACGAGACGATGCGCTTTAACACCACTCCATTCGACGCTTGGACTTGGTGATGTAAGGCTTGCATGCAGCTGCTCGGCCATGGAAACTCATTCCATGAAGCTCCAGCTGCACAGTTTTTGTGCTCGCATTAATGCAAGTGGAAGTTTGGAACTCTTCAGCTATGGAATCATTGGTGCCAAGGTGGCATCCTATCACTGTACCACGCTTGAAGTCACTGAGCTCTTCAGAACGACCCATTTTGCATCACAAATGTTTGCAAATGGAGACTGCATGGCTAGGTG